TTATCCATCCATTTTTCAGGATTGCATTTATGGCTAGTAGCCTTGGTTGATAGAGCTGTCTCCTCAGGTGAGATGCAGGCTCCTTTCCACTTTCTATAAAATGATGGTACTTCAAGGTCAGTGTTCTCTTAGGCACCTCAACCTACAGTGTGCCCAAGTGTCTTCTTAGCCTTGTAAATTATCTCCAAGGGACTCAAGGGTTAGGAGACCCCTTGCCAATGCTATCCTGGTGCTGTTTGCTCCACCAGAGTTGATAACAGCCCCATCAATGGTTAAGAAATTTCAGCTCTTCTGCAAGCTTCCACTATTCTGCAAGAGGCTTATATATAGGCATATTGGTTGTTACTGTGACAAAATGCCCGAAGAAGCAAGTTAAGGACGGAAAAGGTTGGCTTGTCTCTCAGTCCAGCATGGCAGGGAAGTTGGGCATCAGGAACTTGTAGAAGCTGAGTACACTATATTCACAAGCAGGAGCAGACACAGTGAATTCTGGTGCTGCATTCTCTTGCTCCCTTTTATTCAGTCTGGAGCCTCAGCTCATGCAAAGTTGACACCCACAGTTGAGGTTCCCATCTCTGTTAACCCAGTTCTAGAAACTCTTTAACGTAGCATGAGACTTGTTTCCATGATGATTCTAAGTCCAGTAATGTTACAGCTTTAAGCATAGTAGGTAAACATCCAATTCCAGACTTGGTATCAAAGTAACCAGAGAAAACAGAATCAGTTGAGTAGAGAAGTGTGACCAAGCCACACAGTCTCACATTCTGGTGATAACGGATGTGGAAGAGTAGCCAGATTGTCTGATTAAACCAGAGACAACCAGAAAGAAAGGGATAGTCAGGAAAGGGGACAGGGGTGTTAAAATACTTCAATGGCAAGGCAAATGGCTCTAGCTCTGTTTACAAAACCCAGAATTGCATCAGCCCTGTGCATATGCAGATACAATCTCTGCACTTGGGTAATAAAGATTTCTAGTTTCTAATTCGAGGAAGAAACATAGCATGGTAGAAAGTGCTATGAGGCCAGGCATGGTGGTTGCAAGTCTTTAATACCAGCTCTAGGCAGGCAGAGGCAGGTGGGTCTCTGAGTTTGAGTTTGAGGTCAGCCTGATCTACAGAGGGAGTTCTAGGACAACCAGGGCTACACAGAGTGCTATTATAATCAAGCTCTATCAAGAAGCCGCCTATAATGGTGGGTTTCAATGGTAATTTGCCACAAATTAGAATCACCTGAGTAGAGAGCCTCACTTTTGAACTTGCCTGACTTCCTTAATTAACATAATTGGGCGCCCACTGTGGGAGGTGCCATCCCTAGGCTAGTAGACTTGGGATGTTCAGTAAAACAGGTTGAGCAAGTCTTAGGAAGCAACCCAGTACAGCACTCTCCCATGGTCTGTGCTTCAGTTCTTGCCTCCAGCTTCTGCCCTGGCATCTCTTTATCATGGATTGGGATGTAGAAGTGAACACCAAATAATTCCTTTCCTCCCCTAAACTGCTGCTGGCCAGTGTCCTATCCAGCAACAGAAACCAAATGAACTAAATGGAAACGTATCCCAGTTGCACCAACGCCTTTGCTTAAGTGGCTGGTTCTGAATGCTAATGGGTCACCAAAGAACCCACTACGGAGCCTCCCAATTGTGAATGATGACTAACCAGCCAGTAGCTGCACTTCCATGCTTTAAATTCTATCAATTTGCAACCTCCAATTCTGCAGCCCAATGTCCGGAAATCTACTACTTCCACAAAATGATGAACGAAGTTCGCAGATTCTTTGTTAGTGAGAACCACGTCCCACAAGTCCCTCTTTTGCCCACAAGTGACAAACTGGGCTTCCTGTTTTGGAAACTGAGTAGCAGTCTCTTCCTCAACGTCAGGAGCTCAGCCTCTAGATTTGCTGGTGTCAGCAGTTTGGATCTTCTAAGTCAAAGCTACAGAAGCAGACACCTGTTTTAGGAAGATTGCTACAGTTGGCAGCTGACAAAATAAGCATCAGCTGTTGCTGAAGTGGCTGGCCTGAAGAGGATTTCTGTCTTTTGTCGTCTAGAGAATTATTTACCACAAGCCACCTGGTAGATAAGATGTAGGATATTGCGAAAGGGGCTCACCCAGTTGTTGTTCAGTTGGAAGCACTTGGGACTCAGTTGTAGCATCAGGTGTTCCCTGGAGACTTGCAGTGTTTATCAGTTGATAGTTTTAGCCATGGCTTTGCATGGAGACCGTCTATGGTTTCTGAACTGCATTGTCTTGCCTAGCGCTCATCACAATGGAGAGTCATCTTTTGTAATAACATATATTTGCCTTTCAGCAAACTTTAACCACACTATCTCTCCCCTGTATCTCTCCTAAGAATAAAGTTTCAGAACAGAATAAAGTTGGTGATTGTGAAAGTTCATCTGTTAAATAGCAAACACACAGCAAATCAGGACATTCATCTTGAGTCCATGGTGTAGTCTGTTTGAGGGCAAGGCTAGAGGACTGGTGTGTCTTGCCCAATGACAATGACCATGTCCTCATCAGAAAATAATCCTATTGTGTCTTGGTCAGGTAATGTTTATTCAAAGTCATCTTAGCTACCTTAGCTGGTGTTTCAAAATGAAATGTGAAGTATTGGGCTTAACTGAGAACACCTTGGTCTCTGCTCACAGGCACACATGGCTAAGAAGGGAACTGAGAAAATTAGTCATGAAAACAGCCAGCACTAGGTCAGACCCCACCTACTGTTTTACCTCCACTGCCCATGTGACCTTACATGCTCATCCTGTCTAACTTTCAAGTCCTCAGTCTTGAATGTGAATAACGTGTTTTGTGGGTAGCCCACAAACTTGTCAAAAATGAACCCAGGTTACAGATATAAAACTGCTTTTTTGACTGCACATCTCAATAACTCCAAAACTTTTCTAATTACACAGTTGTCACCAAATCCAAAGATCAAAAGTATATAAGGGTTTTTCTTCTTCTTTCCTTCTTTCCTCCCTTCCTTTCTTTCTTGTTTGTTTTGTTTCTTGAGACAGGGCTTTTCCATGTAGCCCTGGCTGTCCTGAAACTCACTCTGTAGACCAAGCTGACCTCAAACTCAAGCATCCACCTGCCTCTGCCTCCCCAGTTCTGAGATTCAAGGCATGCACCACCACCACACAGCTAAGACATTTTTTTTTTCAATTTTCTACATCAATCTTAACTTACAGAAGGAAGTACTTTTGATAATTTAGTGTTTATCTTTCCATTTTATGAGCATGTATGTGTTTGCAAATGTGTACATAAGAGAGCCTATACTACTAAGCCTAAGAATTGTGCAGTAACTTTTTATTGAGGTGAATTTTATTATACTGATATGGCAAGATTATATTGTGTACTAAGAGTTACAGAAGCATTTAAGAAGTGATACTGGCAAGAGACTCTCTCTGAGAAACACATGCTACAAAGGAATGAGATGTTTTATCTCACAGTTTTCTTCCATTATAATGCTTTTTGTTGTTGTCTGGTTTTTTCGAGACAGGGTTTCTCTGTGTAGCTTTGGAGCCTATCCTGGTACTCGCTCTGGAGACCAGGCTGGCTTTGAACTCACAGAGATCCGCCTGCCTCTGCCTCCCGAATGCTGGGATTAAAGGCGTGTGCCACCAACGCCCAGTCCCATTATACTGGTTTTTTTTTTTTTTTATCTTAAATACGTTTTTCAAAACTCTCTAAATCCCAGAAGAAAATGTGGAGTACAAGCCAGAACAATGCAGAAAATGCAATATATCTGAAAGGGTTGAACACACAAAACGAAACTGGAAATGAAACAAAGAAAGAGAAACAAAACTAGACATGGTATGATTTCAAAAATACATCTTTTGGGGGAGGGAAAAGGCCTGATTGTGTAGTTTGTCTTGCCAAGTTTCTTGTTGAACGTTACCTCCACAACAGGACATCCATCCCCATGACTAGCTTAATGGAAAAAAGGGCCAACAGAAGCTGACACAGAACTTTCCAGGGGAGGAAAGAGGACTAAATCTGATGAATGCTTAATTGTTTTACAGTTTAGAGATTTCATGTTTTTAAAAATACAGGAAGTAAACTGAGGGATGGGCAGAAATGACAAGTCAAGGAAAGGTAAGCGTTCTTGAAAGATCTTACAGTCTCACTGAGCAGGACTCTGTAGCGGCTTTCACCGTTTTCACTTCCTTCCATCAACAATCCAGCTGTGTCTATGTACAAAGGACACTTGCCCTGTTTTGATCACCAATAATACAACCAAGTTCATTCCTCTTGTTTCCACTTGGGAGACAACCTGATTTTCCTCTACCGCCTTCACTTTGGCCAATAACCTGTAAAAATGTGAGTGTGTGTGTGTGTGTGTGTGTGTGTGTGTGTGTGTGTGTGTGTGGGTGGAACAATAAAGTATAGGCTGAGAAGCAAATCTTAGTTCTAAAATGCTGCACAATTTGTGCAGCTTGCTTTATAGCCTCAGCAGTGATACACCCCCACAGGCTTCCACACACTGTGCCATCTGACTGACAGGCTCTGCTCACCTGCTAATTTAAACTCCAGCTTCTCACAGCTTCTCCCAAACCCCTAACTCCCCAACTCTAAACCAGATCACAACTGTATTTTTTAATTATTTGGATGACATGGGGTTTTTATCTTACTTCCATGTTCTTTTGAAAATGTGTGATGACTAGATGCATGTGTATGTGGGCGTCATAATACTATCCTATCTCTGTAAAAAGCTACATTCTTATCTGTATAGGTCTTTGCCCACATGCATGTATGTACATAGCGGTACAATGCACAAAGAGGTCAGAAGGTGGCATCAGACATCCTGGAACTAAAGTTAGGGGCCAATACATGGGTGCTGGGGACCCAAGCTGGGTCCCCTACAAGAGCTGCAAAAGCTCATAAGCACCGAGTCATCCCTTTAGCCCTCAGCCTCTTTTTGCTACGTGTGCTTTATATTTACCATAGTGGATAGTTTTTGAAAGTTTCCTCTAACCTTAAAAATGAAAGCAGCACAGACAGGCAAATCTTTCTTGTTTGTTTTATTTTGTTTTGTTTGAGACAGGATGGCATCCTGTCTGCCCTGGAATTTGGGGTGGCCTCAAATTCAGAGACCTGCTTACCTCTGCCTCCTGAGTGGTAGGGTTAAAGGTGTATGCTACCACACCCAGCCTTTGATCTTAAAAACCGAAAAAAAAATACATTGTCTACAGTTTTTCTTTTTCATGATTAACTTTCATACAAAAACCATGCTAGAATCATAAATGTCATAATACTTGAACAATAGCAGTAACTTTGACTAGAAATACAGTATTCTCTCCATCATAGCACAAAGCAAGCTATAATGACATAAGTGTTAGGTTCCTAATACTCTGTCTTTGGCAAACTACAACAAAACCCCAACCTTGAAATTAGCATCAGATAATGTAACAGAAAGATCTGAAGTTCAATTATCTCTACATTGATGGCTCTTATTTGACATAAACCTAGAATAAAGGTATAAAACTTTTAATCTAGATTGCCACTTTGGGTAAATTATTTTCCCTCAGCTTTGTTTAACAATTAACACAAGAAAAAAATGGTCAAACATATGTTCCAGTTTCAGATCTAAAAGTCTCACAATTTGGAGAAGCAAGCAGCCATAAAACATACTGTTATATTTTTTATATGAAGCAACAATTCAAAATGATTTTTTTCCTGTTCATTGTAAGATCATACCCCATGAGTGGTGGCCATCCCTGAGGCATCTACAAAGCCAAGGACAGGGACCACTGCATCTCCTTCCACAGAGCGGAGGCTGCCACTCATGTCCTTTCTGTTAACGTACTTGTGCAACATGCTGTAGAAATGGTTCTTGGGATTGAACGTGTAAAGTGCAGAGATTTGCTGCCAGGCTTTACTGCTTGGGGTGCTGCAATCCTTCGGATTTGTGCAGTCAAAGAAACACCTAACATTCTCTTTTGCCAGCTGGGTCGCATGTTCCATAGCTTCTCCTTGAAGGATCTGCCTCTCCTTTTCCAAATATATTTCCCAGAATTTTAGCTGCAGATAACTAACCGGAGAGAGACATCGAGTGACAGACTTCACAACCAGAAGTAGAATGATGATAGCTGCTATCAGGATCCAGCCCAGCACCTACAGAAAACACAACAGGATGTCAACTTAGTGACCTTTGACATTAGAAAAAATTAGAATAAGGAGTGTTAATAACAATACCCCCACCCCCAGTACATCAACACAACTATTGTCTTGAAAAGTCAACCAGAGTCCAAGTCATGTCAAGCGCCCAAGAAGGAGCTCACACTCGTCACACCCCTAGAACTGAAAACTTGGGAGTTCGGTGGATCCAGAGAAAGGAGCGTCCGTTCTGAAGAGCCCCCAGGGCTTCCTAAGTTCGTAGATAGTGTGGGTGGTGGGTTTGGGCCTGGTAAAACGGGTTCTGTTGTAAAAATGCTTCTAGTTTCCCTCGGACGTGCAACTTCGTCTGGCCTGAGTATTTGCTGCATAGTGGAAGGGAACACTAAAGCATGAGGCAGAAGGTACCAGTCCAGGTGAGCTTATTCTGGCTCCTCCATCGCCAGCGATTGGACGAATGCCTCCCCTCTTTCTCTGCTATTTAAATATTGACTGTCGCTGGTCTAGAGAAAACCTACACACTTCTTCCCCGCCTCTCTGTGCGTCCCCATGGCGCCCAGAGTCTGACCTGAGACTGAGCCTTGAGCTGACTCAGGATGTCCTGCATCTCCGCCTCCTGCTTCTTGCAGGGAACCTGCGGTAGCTTGGCGGCGCAGCTAGGGTCGCGGCCCTTGCACAGGTGTCTGGCCATGGCCTCGCTCCCGCTGACAGCACACTGGTAGAAGGAGCCTCCGAGCAGCGCTACCGCCACCCAAGTGAGGGGCGGGAGCGCGGCGGCCGCGCTGATCTGTGCGCACACGAACACGCGCTGCAACCCCGAGCTGGATTGCGCGCTCGCACTCCAGGAACAGCAGCCTGTGAGCAGGCGCCAGGTGCGCGTTCTGAGAGCATAGCCCAGGAGGAAGAGGGCTAGCGCTGGCACCAGCAGGAACACCAGTCCATAGGGCAGGTTCCAGGTGGCGCTGCAGGGACACTGGAACACCACCTCGGAGAAGATCTTCTCCCCACCTGCAGTCAGCAGTGTCACCAAGCCGTAGCCCAGGGCGCTGCGGTGCTTGCTCTGCAGGTCCAGCACTGCCTTGAACTTCTCCATGGATTCCGCTCACCCTGGGCACCCCGCGGGTCCAGAAGCTTCAGCTATGCTCTATGTGTCGAGAGGGTTGAATGAGCCGGGTCTGGGACTTTGCACCCTGCTTTGAAGTAACTTTAGAAAAGGGAAGAGTGCTTCTCAGCCCTTTCCGGGTTTCACTTTTCTTTTTCAACCAAACCAGCTCTGGCAGAGGCCCACAAGTAGGCCCCTAGATCCTTGACCTCCCGGACCCACTCCACATCCAAGGGCTATAGGGAGCAAGAGAATACCTGAGTGAGAGGTGTGAGTGACTGTATTTTGACATGGGCAGGACTCCATGGTAAACTGGCAAAGCCATATGGGCCAAGAACAAGAGTATTGGCAAAGCTTTCCTTAGGAGTATTCATGCTTACAAACAGTAGATCAGTGCGCACAAAGACTAGCAACAGCAGCTTTCTCCTGAAGTTTACAGGCTGTGAATGCTGGCCTACAGAGGTGGCTTTCCAGTCTAACCCCTCCCCATGCTGTACCTAATATACAAGCTAGATTTTGGAGAGAACACCACCTGATCCCACCTTCATTGCCTATGTGTCTGTATGCCTGTTGCTTCTTCATTCCCTCTCAGCCTCTAGCCGGCCTTCTAGTGAAGGGACCAGCCCCCCATTTAGGCAGCCATGACAGTAACACGTGCTCACTATGACCTTGTCTTAGTCACTAGAGGTTAGGTTAGGTGCCTGCCTTGTGACAAGGAACCAATCAGAAGTTAGCTGGTAGCGCTATGGTTTACAACTCTGGGTGTGCTTTACAGACAAGCACACAGCAATAACAAGCAGAGCATAGCAACCACCCTGGGAGGGCCTATGGGCCATAACAACCAGTTGGCCAATCAACACAGGGCAAGCCTGGAGGCACACCAATCATGAGCCTCTGCGTACCCCTAGATACTCCCCTTATGCTGCCCTACAAGATCTCTCTCTGCAGCAGGTCCAAGCTGTCTTTTGCAAGCCATCCGCCATTGCGGGTGGGTGAAAGACCCGAGCTAACATGGGGTTAGCTTATTAAAAAAACGGCACACCAATCATGAGCCTCTGCGTACCCCTAGATACTCCCCTTATGCTGCCCTACAAGATCTCTATACAGCAGTTCAAGCTGTCTTTGCTAGCCATCTGCCTTGGCGGGGGGGGGTAAGACCCGAGCTAACAAGGAGGTAGGGAGAGAAACAAGCATGAAATAACCTGGCACTCCTGTACATCATATAGAAGAACTCAATTTGACTTCATTCACAAACTTGATGCAGTTTGCATCAAGCTCTCGAGTCTGCCTGGTGATTGGGGTGACCGTGAACGTGGCCTGCGACCCCGGATACCTGAGTTTTCCGGGGGTCTAACACCAGGATCCAAGCTGCAGAAGTCAGAGCAGAAGGTGGAGATCCTGATTACACTGATTGTTCAGTTTTGGACCGCTACCACAAGGAAACTCTTGTTCTGTTGTTTTGCTTTCCTCCAAGGCAACATGACCTCTTACAAGGTAGCCAGTTAATCAAAACAAGAAAGCTGCCGAATTTCCCTCTTTTGCATCAATCCTAATTCCTAAGCCAGCACCCAATTACAAAAAAGCACAGCAATTACAGGAAGCACAGACACACTTTCCCATTTTCCTTCATATGCTAAACCACAGAAAAACTGTGAATGAAGTCAAATTGAGTTCTTCTATATGATGTACAGGAGTGCCAGGTTATTTCATGCTAACTCCTCTCTCTCTCTCTCTCTCTCTCTCTTCCTTTCTTTTCCTCTCTCCTCCCTTCTCTCCCTC